TCTCTCTCTCTCTCTCTCTCTCTCTCTCTCTCTCTCTCTCTCTCTCTCTCTCTCTCTCTCTCTCTCTCTCTCTCTGTCTCTCTGCCTTTCTCTCCCTCTCCCCCTTTCCCTCTCCCTCTCCCTCCCTCCCTCCTTCCCTTTGTCTGTCTCTGTCTCTCTGTCTCTGTCTCTGTGTCTTTCTCTGTCTCTCTTGCAACCCCCCCCATCTCTCTCTGTCCCTCTCCATCAGGACCAGCTGCTCTTCTGTGATGACTGTGACCGTGGCTATCACATGTATTGTTTAAATCCCCCCGTGGCTGAGCCCCCTGAAGGTAACCGACAGAACTCTCAAATTAAGGGCTGCGGAAGAGTATTTTATAGTGAAATGACCAATGTAAGGTGAAGTGTGGGGGAAAAAAGAAAAAGGTTATGTAGTTCCCTGCTACCCCTTTCCCAGGATTCCCTGTGGGGATACCGACTCACTGGAGAAACAGCTTTGCTGGACCAACTATCTCATTGATCTAGAAAACCTTAGTAGAGAGTGATAGCAAATAGATTCTTAGAAAACAGAAACTGGATTCAGAAGACAGAGACAATCTGCATATCCAGGAAAACAGGTCCAGGACTAGATGCCTGAAGACTGAATTTGGAGGAGGGGTGAGGAGTGTGTATCAAAACCTAGAAGAAATTTCTTTTTCTTTGGACCTGTGATTTTATCCATGTAGATTAACTCCTACTGTGGAAATCCCTCCCTTACTAATGCAGATAGCTATAAATTATAACAGCTACAACATAATATTTATAATATACCATTATAATGTATAATTACATACAAATATTTATAGAACATATGTAACATTATTATAACACATCATAATTTAGAATTACATATAAATTACATAATTTATAATAATTACAACTATCTATAATTTATAGAGTTAGAGAATTGCCAAAGACATAGGAAAGTGATTTATCCAGGTTTACACAGCTAGTATGAAGGGAGGCGGGGCAGGACTTTAAGCCTGGTTCTTTCTGATTCCAAAGCCAGCCCTCTTTCCATTACAAGCAGTCTAAAGAGTAAAGCATTCTGCCCAGGTACTTTGTCTCTGTTGAGTTATTCTAGGAAAATGGGGGACAGATGTGTTACAGATTTAAGGGATCTTTAAAAGCTCCAAAATGCTACATTTGGGGGAAGGGGTTTCAGAGACACTCCCCCTCCTCCAATAACTTTATTATGGTACTGACAAGAGAGGCAGAATGGAGTAGGGGGTAGAGTTGGCTTTGAAGCCAGGAGGACCTAGGTTTGAATATATCCTGGCTCTTAATGCCGCAGGCAGCTTTCCAACACTGCATTGTAGCGCAGGTAGCGGTGACCTGTCTTGGGAGAGGGAGTTTCCTCACTATATGAATGAAATCACAGTTCTAGCCCCCATCTCTATTCTGGCTTATAATGCGGGCTCTGGGTCAGGGCTAACACTGATACAATCTTGTTTTTTGTTCCTCGTCTAGGGAGCTGGAGTTGCCACCTGTGCTGGGAATTGCTCAAAGAGAAAGCATCCGCCTTTGGCTGCCAGGCCTAGGGGGCTGACCCCCGGGATGTAGGATGTCACTTGCTCCTGTCGAGCTGGTACCAGCACACAATTTCCAAACTCAGACCAAGCACCCACATCCCCACACCTAGACAGACCAACACAAAAGAAAACAGTCACAGAGGGACACACAAGGACACTTGAAAACAAGAGGAGGAGGCATGTATTTACCTCCCTTGGGTAGGTTCCACCACTTCAGACAGCCCCCTCCTGGGTCTTACTAGAAGGAACTTGTACTTTTCAAGAAAGAAAGCCCCAATTCCTCCCCTCACTTTCTCTCTCCCCTGCTTCCCCATTGACATTTCCCTCACTTTTGTCTGAGCACTGAAACTTTCTCACTGGTTTCTGGGCTAAATGGAAGCTGTTCTATGAACACTGAATAGTCATTCTTGTGCAGTCTGGTGTTTTATGTTCTCTCTGTTCCAAGAAACCTTCAATGATTCTCCAACCCTTTGCCCTCTCACTTGCCTTCTCTGCCCCCTTCACAAATCCCACCAGGCAGTAATACCTTCCACCCCTTCACTGGTTCAAGAGGACAAGCCTCACTGGGAATTTCCTGGTCCCAAAGCGGGCCACCATCCTGAAAATCTGGGTTGCTCCCAAACTCTGCCCTCAGAAACTTTATGTGAAAAAAAAAAGTTCTACTTTCCTGCTGCCCCAACAATATGTCCAGTGGCATGAATAACCCCAAGGGGTCCAGATCCCCTGAATTCAATCACTTGATAGAGGAGTGGGAAAAGAAAGAACAGGGAGATGAAGGAAAGAGGAAGAGAATAATGGGAAAATGTAAATGAAGTCTTGTGCCACCAGCCAGTGTTTGCTCTTTGCTTCCCAAATAGGAGAAGCTTTGGAAGGCACTGTGCTTGTCTGATTGACTTAGACATAATCCCCTGGATTGAAGCCTTTTTTGGGGGGGGGGGGAAGGCAAATTAGTTTGAGAGGTACTGTAAGTATAGACCATGGAGAGAAAGAGAAAGAATCTTTCCTTCCAACCAAACTTTTTGATCAACTTTTCTTGTTGGAACTCCAGGACCACAGCTTGGAGAACCAGGAGGCCAAGGTGACATCTGTTTTCCCTAGGTAAGGGGTAACCAAACCAAGTGTGTAGTTTGGTATTAGAAGCCCTTTCAGTATTGACAGTGTGAGTGGCACCAGGAGTACTTTTTTGCCAAGGAACTTTCTTAATTCTGACAGTATATTTTTTGCTGGGGTGAATTGAAGCATGATTCCTGGGAAGGTCTTTTAGGTAGCAGAGAGATGATTATTGATTATTTGAGAAGCTGCCTGGCAGAGTGGATGGAGAGGTGATTTCAAAGTCAGGAGGAACCAGGTTCAGGTCTTACCTTTGACACATACTGGGTACAGGATCCTAGGCAAGTAAACCAGTGCTCCTGGACAGGTCTCTAAGAAGGTAAATTTAAGAGCAGGTACCAATCTGCATTAGTAAAGGGTGTTCCTCACTGGGAATTCCCTCTATGCATGTAGTCACAAATCTGGTCTTCCTTTCCTCCTAAAAAAAAGCAAATAATTAGAATCATGAGACAAAATAATTATTTAGAAGCATCAGTTTTGGAGGTTCCTTGACTTTCAAATCTCCCTTTTGACTTTACCTAAAAAAATGAGTACTTGAAGGTAGAAGATGATCAGCTCAGATTCTAAAAATGGTGAGCATTCCAGGATGGCCCCATGGGCTGGAACTTGTCAGGCTGCCTTTGAAATGGGGCAGCAGGTTTCTGGAAAATCATTTGCCCAAAGGGCAGGTTTCTGTAGTGGGGACCCTGGTGCATGCTCTATTTCCCTGCTATCAGCTCCAACTCCTTGGTCCAGCTCCTGACTACAAAGGCAGAGGTTATTTTTAGCCCACAAACTCCCCCAAGAAGCCTGTTGGGATTTGGGGTAGCTGGCCACTTCTGCTGCTCTGTTTGCTTTCGAATTTGGCAGGAGCTCACATTTCCTGTGCTAATTGCTGGCAGCCAGTAAATCAGATGTAGCATAGGGAGGAGCTGAGCATTTAGTGTTCCTACCCCCTCCCCAACCCCCACCTTGCCCCTTTCCCTAATCCATTTCTTTGGCTGAAGCGACCCATGACAAGAGACTTGGGTCATTTTCCTGTACGAGAATGCAGGCTATGAGTGATTTACACGCATATATAATGATCTCATTTAAAAGGACTGTCCAGATGGAAATCACGTCTTCCTCCCAAGACATTGCCTTCTCCTTCCTAGCAATCCTACTTTGGATTATGAAGGATTGAGTATTTAAGAAGTCTGGAAATGTTTTTTGGAGGTTGACTTTCTCCACATGTGATTTGTTTGTTTTTCCCTTTGCCTACCTGGGGAGTGAAATCAGACTGACCATATTTTTTTCTGTTTTTGATGAGGTGACTCTTTAATTCTTTCAGGGCACAAAAAGACAGTGCTCCATGCTCCAGAGGGTTGATTATTGGGTTCTTAAAAATCATTTCAATTGACTTTGGGGGAAAATTCACTAAAATAATCCCAGATGTCATAAGTCCTCAAATCTTAAATATTTATGTGTAAATGTATATATGTGTGTGTCTACACACACACACACACACACACACACACACACACACACATACACACAAAACCAAAATCTTGGGACTCAGGTCCTTGCCTGATAAATGAAGAGTTTGGAGTCAACCTCTAAGCTCTCCCTGACCTAATGTTCTGTGATTCTATAAAATCAGTTGACAATGTAGGTCTCCTTGTAGATTGCTCTGAATCTGCCTGTCCTGCATCATTGCACACAACAAGGTTGTCCAGTCCAGTTCTCTGTCTGCAGGCACATCTGCTCTGATAGCATATGCTGAAAATATAGCCATCAAGTTTCCCAAGCTTATGGAAAAATAACTCACCACCAGTGGCTGCCGTAAGGAGACAGATAGACCATGTGGTCAAGTGTTCAGGGGTCTGGAATGGGGACATTCTTAGAAGGTTTCTGCATGCTGTTCCCAGCTTTGTTGTTTTCTTGAGGAATGACCCTAGGAAGCTCCTTTCATCTTTGTATACCTTACTTTCTTCATCTGGAAAGCAAAGATAACAAAACCCTGATAGTGAGGGCCCATTTTCGTTAGAAGAATTGGTAGAATCTTTATGAAAAGGGAGGCACAGGAGCAATGTAATCTAGGGAAAAGAACATTGGACTTCAGTTCAGAAGGCTTGGGTTCTAACCCTGACTTTGATACTTTATAGCCTGCTGCCACTGATGAGTCATTTCACATCTCTGGTCCTAAATTCTGCATCTGTAAAATGGGCATAATCATACTTGCACTTGCTCCGTCACAGGATTAGTGTGAGGGGAGGACTTTGCAAACTGAAAGCACCCTACAAATGCCAGCTGCTGTTATTAGATGGCACCAAATATTGCTTAATCTGGTTTTAAAGGGAAGGTGTTAGAATATTTGAAATTGACCATCTCTTTTGAACCTTGGTGGAACAAAGTATTAAAGTAAAGAGATGTACTCTGGTAGCTGCAGAAATCTGGGCTGCACCCAAAGTAACTTGCACATCCACTTCCTTTGCCTGAGTATATTAGGGTTAAATGCTTACCTGATATCTCCCTTAAGGCAGTGTTGTACTGGTTCTTGAGTCAAAGGACCTAAGTTGGAATCCCATCTTTGATGATTACTAGTGGTGTAACTTTGGGCAAATCACCTAACTTCCCTGAGTCTCAGTCTCCTTGTCTGTAAAATTTGAGGTAGTTGGCTTCTAAGGTCCTTTCCACTGGATTAAAAATAGGCCAATGGAAGTTCAGTAATGAGGGCCATCTTGTTTTTGGGTAAGACCATGCCAAAGGTATCTTGGGCCTGTCATAATGTGTATATAGATTGAGTTGAGGGGGATGAAATTTTAGAAATGTGTGCTTGAATTTAGTCTTAATTTTCAAAGTATTATGACTCCAGGGAAGCAGCCTGATAGAGTGGAAGAAAGTTGTGCTTGATTTGGAATTGGAGGACCTGGGTCTGTAACTTAGTATGAACAAGCCTTGGGTGTGACTTTGGGCAAGTCATTCAACCCCTCTGGGCCTCAGTTTCTTCTCCTTTTAAAAGAGAGGATTGGACTAGGAACTAAATGGTCTTGAATGACTAGCTTTAAATGTGGGCTATGCCCTCCATCAGAGGGCTAAAGAACTGAGGATGGAGACCTAAGTAAAGGGGAGGGGGACGGAGAATTCAGAATAGAGAATTGCCACTGATTCAAGAAAATCTAGGCATAGCTGGATCCTTAGGAGAAGTCACTATTAAGGGATATCAAGGCAGCTAAAGTTAACCCTTAGGGATAGCTCAGTGGCACAGCGCATAGAGCACTTGGACTGAAGTCAGGAAGACTCATTTTCCTGAGTTCAAATATGGCCTCAGATACTTACTAGCTGTGTGACTCTGGGCAAACCACTTAACCCCATTTGCCTCAGTTTCCTCATCTGTAAAATGACCTGGAGAGGCAGATGGCAAACCCCTACAGTATCATTGCCAAGAAAACTCCAAACGGGATCATCAAGAGTTGAACTCAACTGAACAACAGCAAAGACAGTCTATAATTCAATACTCCCTGCCTGATTACTTTTCCTATTCTGGTTACTTGCTGTAGCAGGAAGCTGAGCAATGAGGTGAAGGGCAATCATTTTAGATCACAGATCCAGAGGTAGAAGGGACATTGAGTCCAACCCCTTCATTTTATACTTGAAGAAAGGTTGTTCTGTGCCTCTCGACTCAGCCCTATACTTAACAGAGGGAAGGTAAAACAGGCATATCCAAGCCAAGGCTCCAAATCCTTTTCTACCTGTGGCCATGTAACCTAAAAGTAAAACAGTAAGCAATCAACATGAGAAAGTGGAAAGAGTGCTCTGAAATCAGAGGACTTTGGGTTTGAATCTCTGCTCTGCCACTTAATCCCTGCGTGACCCTGGGTAATTCTCAGCCTCAGTTTCCTCATCTATAAAATGAGAGCATTGGACTAGATGACCTCCTT